AACTATTGTTAATAACCTTTTCAAAGTTTTTTTTTTCACTTATATATAATCATGATCACAAATGCCTATAGAAACAGAGACAGCAACATTTGAGGGTAATATTTATGATTTTTTATTTCAAAAAATTTGAAGAGGATAAATTAGAGAAAAACTACAATTCTTCAGTATTTTATTGTTATATATTTCTTGAATTGCGACAAATTAAGGGATACAATACCGTTACAATACATGAATATGATATACCAAAAAATCTGCAGTTTCATCAGACAATTTTCCCTCTCCGCTTGTATAAAACCTATATAAGCAGCTTTTATGATTGTAAATATAAAACTTAATGTCAATTAAACTATGATTTAAGCCTAAATTATAAATAACCATATTTAGGCGGTTACCAATCAATACTTATTTTCGTATTGACCATTAGTAAAAATTTGATATTTTTTAAATTCTTTGAAAAACATAAAAACAATTTTTTTTTTCTTTTTTGCATTTCTCTCTCCCAGTTATTATAAGTTTGACATGGTAAGTAAAAGATAAGTGTAACCAATAAACATCTAATTATTTTTAATTATGAATAATCTCTCTATCCCTATATTTCTCTCTTAGTTAGATACGAATAACTAGAGTAGATAAAGTTCACTGACTAAAATATGATTTTAACTTCCAACTCATAAAGTTAAAATATGAGGCAAAAAGAAGTTCGTCCCATGCTTCTTTGATATGTTCTTTATTTCGTTATTTCACGTGTTTAGAGTTTTATCAACAACCTTTTTGTATAGGTGGAGATCCGATATTTTTTATTCTGATTGAAGGTATTACGAAAGAAACTCCTTCAACAAATATGTGAATAAGAAAGGATTGGTCGACGAAATCTGAATTGGAGACTGAATCTTAATATATTTAAGAACAATATATTTTTATTATCACGAGACATATGGGTAGCAGCAGATCACTTGATCGAACTTAAATTTAGATATTGATGTATTGTTCACAACTTTCTCTCTCTTTCTCGTCCATGGCGGCAAGCAGCTATAGAACCACCATGTCAGCAGAATTTCAAAAAATAAAAATTAAAAAATTAAAAAAAAACTTGCAGAAGAAGAAGAGTAGTGGGTCCCACTGGGCCCAGTAAAAGAATCCAATGGGCTGCTTGGTGGGCCTCCATCATCTTTTAAAATGAGGGCATAGTAATTATTGTTAATGTATTTATATTGTTATAAAAATCAACTTTTTTTTTAAATACTTTTTTTATGCTTGTAATTTTAGCCTGAGTTAATTTTGACCAATTTATTTTTAAAATGTTTATTTTGGTTCATGTACTTTCAATTTTGATTTATTTTAGTTCCTATATTTTTACAATATTCATTTTAGTTCCTGTATTTTTAAAATGGATCATTTTGGTTCCTTCATCTTATTTTTAATCTCTTTTTTCTATTACAATTTCAATACGACATTACAATCAATATATTTCTTAAAATGTAAACATTACTTTTATACTAAAGAGTTTCCATTATACGTAAAATTTGCCTTAAAATTTTATAAAGAGGGATTAAAATGATCATTTTTTAAAAGTATAGGGATTAAAACGAACATTCTCAACGTACGAAAATTAAAATGAACAAAAGCTAAAAGTATAAAGACAAAAATGAATATTTTTATGGTAAAATAAGGTTGAGAGCATGGGGAAGAAAATATTATTTTATTATTATTATTATTATTTTGAATCCTTGTGAAAAGTTTGATTTTCTCGGCAACCAAACAAATACCTGAGAGAAAGTAAAAGAAAATGGGCCTCAAATATCTCTCTTCGTTACAAAGAAATCATTACGCCGAGGAGAGAGAGAGAGAGAGAGAAGAGAGAGAAAATGAAACAGGAGATTCATCGGTTCACTTCACCAGGTAATATTAAGTTTTCTTTATTATTATTATATGAATCTTCTTTTGAAATTATTGTTTTTGCCGTCTTTTTATTTTATCTTTATATAATTTTATTTTTCTAGAAAGAAAATAAAGTTACTACGACGTGCATTAATTAATAAAGTTTTTCTAAATACATAAATAGTTTTTAATCATGATGTCCGAGTTTTCATAATACTTTTAAAAAAAGATTTATATATAATATGAAGGTCAGTGATGTTTAAATTTTCAAGTTCATTCAATTTTGGTAATTTAATTTTGAAAGGATTATTTTTAGTCCAATTATTTTGAAATTTATCATTCTCATTTATTATTTTGACAATTATTTAGTACATAAATATGATATATAATATGTTGACATCATGATATGAAATGTTTTAGTTTGAGCAACAATTTTTTCATATTTAGAAATTTAATATTCAACTTTTACTATTTGACTCGCTTAACTTATGTACCGTCACTATATATGATCGTAATACACACATTCAATATCATATCAGTCCTTTATTAAATCAATAATCAAAATAAGAAAAAATAAAAAACTCTAAGCTTTGTCATTTATTTCAAAAATATTCCTTATTTCCAATACTATATTGACTTTTCATGAAGATTATATATTTTGAATGGAAAATTAATATGGTAGAATATGGAATAACATGGTAATGTACCGTCATCATGGTTCAAACCTCATAATGGCCACCTACCTTAGGAATTAATAATTCCTATGTGTTTCCCGACACCAAATATTGTAAGGTCAGACGGTTGTCTCGTGAGATTAGTCGAAATGCGCGTAAACTGGTCCGGATACTCACGAATATCAAAAAGGAAAAAAACGTGGAAGATTGTTTGGATAGAGAGTGAATGTGGAAGAAAAAAGGGGATGAGGACAAATTAAGCAGACAATAGGAAAGTAAACTCTAGGACATTAATTGTTACGTCTTATGCTGTTTTAGATTTTACAACGTTAGTGAATATTTGGTCAAAGATATTTTAAAAATATTTATAAAATGTTAAAACTAGTAATTGAAATTTTTGAAATGATGGAAATATTTTTTAAACAAAATGCAAAATTCACGAGTACCTCTTGTAATTTAGCCCTAAATAATTGACAACAAGATAAAATAAAAGACAAAAACCAAGAGCGTTTGTTTTTATAAAGTTCAAAAATAAAAACAAAGAATTGTTTTTAATAGGTTATTTATTGAGTCGTTAAATTTTTAAAATATTGTTTCTAATATTTAGGTCTCTGATCTGCAAAGAATAAATGATAGAATTACTGGAATATTTATTTGTAAACGTAGGAAGGACTTTTTTCTTACGCAATAAAAAATTAAAAAAAGAGAGAGAGAAAATTGTAAGAAATAATGTGTAGAGCGGAGCCGACAAGGTTGTCGAAGTCGCGGTACACGTGTGGGACAGGGATGCTCTTCATTAAATTTATATTAAAATTTAATGCTTTGCCCCTCCGGAATAAGCCACGTGGCAGATTAGCCATACTCTTTGGGACACGTAGGACGACCTGATTGGTTCCATATGTGAGAACCGGTGCGCTGACGTGGGTGGTGTCCCTGTCAGAACTGTTCCCATCATGCGGGCCCCACAGAACCACCGCAATTAAAAAAAGAAAATTGTATAATAAAATACCTTTTTTTTAAGGAGAGAAAAAAAAGTGGGTAATGTAATGCAGTAGTGATGGCCTAATCACTTCGTGACAAGCCCTTTCCCCCATGGCTTTTTGCTTTAATTACCATTTTGCCACTATTGCGACTTCTTGTCTTCAATTTACACTTTTCAAATGACAATTTTACCCTTTCACCTTGTTCTATCTTGGATTTATCCTTGTTCGGCGTGGATTTGGTTTAAGATGGTAAACCTATGTTTGTCCCGTAGATTTATCAAGCATCAAGTTTATGAATAAATTCACAGTTTTCATTAGTACTTCAACTTACTCCTCCTCTTAGCCCTGCTCCTTCATTCAACTTTTCTAAACTTGTGTGCGAGGAAAGATTTGAACCTCCGACGCTGTAGTTAAGCTATATGTTCTATAGTCTCAATTGTGGATCTATTTTCTAGATGCCAAAAAAAAAAAACATTTCCCCTCTCCAGTCATTTTCTAATTCGAATTAAGATGCGAAAATATCTCTCTCATTTTTAAGAATAATGCGTTCCAAGATGTGAAGATTCTTAAACTTATACTTGTAATAGAGGTTTCCTAAACTTAGACTTCTTACATCATTCTCTTAAACTTCTCATACTTAACGTTCTCAAGCTTAATATGTTGAATCCATACCTCAAACACCTTCCAAACACCTATAAATCTATGTATTAAGAAGATACTTTTTTTTTTCTTTACCATAACACTACATTAAATGTAAACAAAGTTCATATTAGAAAGTTTCAGAATAGGCTTTAATTTCCTTAAACTCAAAGAAGTGAGAATATCCCATTTTTAAAAGCTTTTTTATTTTTATATTTTTTTAACTTTGAATCATACAAATTTGGTTTTGAAGTGAGCATACAAACTTTAATTAAATCTAGAACAACTATTGCAAAAGGGGAGGGGAGGGGAAGGTACATTCTAATGGAGGTTAGTCCGTAATATTGCTCCCAAGAAAGGGTACTTTCGTCCACAAAAAGTACAGCATTGCAAGAAGGACTTGGCGTGTAGAAATTGTGCATGCTCTGGATTGTGGTATGGATGGATGAAATGGATAAGGATGTGAACAAAGATAGCAAAGTTAGAGAGAAATAGAAATAGAGAGAGAGAGAGAGAAGAGAGAGAGAGCACTAATTTGTTTGATGAGTGGGACTATGGCTTTTCTACTCTTTAGCTCATGATGATATATGATGTAATTTCATTTCATTTCATTTTGTTTTTGTTTTGTTTTGTTTTGGGACTCTATTTCCATCTCTAAAAAGGGTTGCATAATTTTGAGTGGATGGATGAAAGAAATGGATAGAGAGATAATGGGGGAGAAAGTCCCAACTCCCAAGTGCCCATTTTTTACTTAAATCTCTCTCATGTTACACATTCCCTCTTCTCTTCTTTCTTTCTTTCTCCTCAGCGTCCATGAGTTCATTCTTTTTTGGGTTTTGCTTTTCTTCTGCAGCTGCAACTTCCACAGCCATCTTTGATCCTTCTAATGCCCCTCTGCTCTATACATCTTCACAGGTTGGTTTTCTCAAGGCTCAAACATTGATACCCACATGATTCAAATGCTTTGTTTCTCTAATTTTTAAAAGGATTTGGGATTGCTCTCTTCCTTGTTTCTGAATAACTAAGTTTGGGAATCTTTTTGGGGGTTCTGTTTGGACCAATAATTCCTTGGTTCTCTTCTGGGTTTTGGTGGGCAGCTACAGGATAAAACCCAAATTCTGTTTTAAGTATTAGAAGTTGAGAGAATCTTAGGATTCTTTTCTGGCTTCTTTTTTGTATGTACGTGAATTTCTTATCCCCAATCCAAAGAAATTTTTGGCCCTATAGCGTTCTTGTTTTCAACNGGCCACTACCCACCTATAAATACCACATGGTTAAACGAAGACGGTATGCAAAAACTGATTAAAAGGGTTGCATGTGACTGCCGATCATTTTTTTTGGTAAGAACACTCCATGTGACTTTCATTCTCTATTTCCATCTCTATAAAATGGTTGCATAATTTTGAGTGGATGAATGAAAGAAATGGACAGAGAAAGATAATGGGGAGAAAGTCCCAACTCCCAAGTGCCCATTTTTACTTAAATCTCTCTCATTTTACACACTCCCTCTTCTCCTCCTTTTTCCTTCTTTCTTTCTTTCGTTCTCCTCAGCTTCCATGAGTTCATTCTGTTTTGGGTTGTGCTTTTCTTCTGCAGCTGCAACTTCCACGGCCATCTTTGATCCTTCTAATGCCCCCCTGCACTATACATCTTCACAGGTTGGTTTTCTCAAGGCTTAAACATTGATACCCACATGATTCAAATGCTTTGTTTCTCTGAGTTTTAAAAGGATTTGGGATTGGTCTCTTCCTTGTTTCTGAATAACTAAGTTTGGGAATCTTTTTGGGGGTTCTGTTTGGACCAATTCCTTGGTTCTCTTCTGGGTTTTGGTGGGCAGCTACAGGATAAAACCCAAATTCTGTTTTAACTATTAGAAGTTGAGAGAATCTTAGGATTCTTTTCTGGCTTCTTTTTTGTAGGTACGTGAGTTTCTTATCCCCAATCCAAAGAAATTTTTGGCTCTTCCTATAGCGTTCTTGTTTTCAACTCATCTGGACCTGCAGTTTGCTTCTTTTTTCCCTCTTCTCCTTCTTCTTCATCATCATCATCATCCTTCAAACTACCCTGAGTTTGGATTATTTTTTCAATTTTCCCCATCTCTATGTGTTGGGCTTAACCAGACATTTCCCTGTAGATTTGATAATGGGTCTCTCTGCTCTCTCTCTCTTCTCTCTCTCTAAAATTTGTTACTGGGTTTTAGGAAAGAGGGTCAGACCCACCTCACGTTGGTCACTTTGTCGAGTTTATTTGTGTCGGCTACAGGTTTTGGTGAGTATGGTTCCATGTATTTGGAGTCTGGCTCAAGGTTATGGCATCTAATTTTGATGCTATGTTGATGAGTAGTAGTAGTTTTTGTGGCTGATTTCCATGAACTGGTTCATTAATGGTGGAGCTATGGAAATTGGAAACTAAGGCTGGTTTGGTTGGTGGGGGAGGGAAGATATGGCTGCAACTGTGGGGGAAGGTAATTGGGAACTGCTGCAAGATCCRTCACCAGTACTACCAGTATATTGGATCCAAGAAGTTCAGAAAAACATGGTGGAGAAGGCTTTTGTTGGGGTGGGTTATTGGGTGGACTTTGGCTTCTTTATGGATCTTCCACTACATGAGCTCACAAGCCACTGAGAAGAGGAAAGAGACCTTGGGAAGCATGTGTGATAAGAGGGCCAGAATTCTTCAAGACCAGTTTAATGTCAGCATGAATCATATTCAAGYAATGTCCATTCTCATCTCCACCTTCCATCATGGCAAAAACCCATCTGCTATAGATCAGGTACAACAACAACAAATATATATCCTTTCGTCTCTCTCTTTTGCTCTTTCTCTCTCTTCCCCCGCCCACCCTAGAAAAAACACAAAAAAGGAGAGGAGGGGTGAAGAGAGATTCAAAGTATGTTGTAATCTGCGAATAAGAGTTTAGCTTAACTCAACGATAATTGACACTCGTTTCTGGCCAGGAGATCATAAGTTTGAATCTTCCACCCACTTTTTGTACTGAAAAAGAAAAGAGTATGTTGTAATCTAATCACAGTTCTTACTTTTTACCTTCCATCCAAGGTTTAGTTATGCTATGAACAATATAAACATTGAAGGAATTAGGAGTTAGATCGGAACTAGTTTATATATGTATAGTTGCTAACCATGAGGTATGAAGTTTGAGATCATCTATGTTCTGTTTCGGATTAAGTGCTGCGTCGTGGCGGAGTTTGGTTTTTGGTGTTTTTCATGGAACAAAACTGTGTTTCTTTTGAAGTTTGATCTGTATTGTGCAATGAACAATGACTAACTCTCAGACATACAGAGGACCTTTGCGAGGTACACRGAAAGAACTGCTTTTGAGAGGCCTCTTACGAGTGGTGTGGCATATGCGGTGAGGGTGCTCCATTCGGAAAGAGAACATTTCGAGAAGCAACAGGGCTGGACGATYAAAAGGATGGACAAAATCGAACAAAGTCCGGTTCACGAAGATGACTATGCTCCAGAAGCCCTGGAGCCATCGCCCACCCAAGAAGAATATGCTCCTGTAATCTTCGCGCAGGATACTRTTTCTCATGYCGTTTCTCTCGATATGCTGTCGGGAAAGGTGAGATCCTTTCTTATCTTTTGGAACCTTTCCATGTCAGTGAGATTCCAATTATCTTGTGCTGGACCAAAGTGGACAATCTGTTTTCAAATAGTCTTCTCACTTATTTCTCTTTTGATTCTCTGATACTTTTAGTCGAAATGGCCCTGCTTTTGATAGCCATACACTTTCAGTATGTTCTTAAAAGTTTTGAGCTTCTAACTCGCGATGCCATACTAAATTATTTTCTCAGTTCTAAAGCACAATATTTAATACTGAATTATTGGGATGATCAGGAAGACCGTAAAAATGTATTACGTGCTAGAGCATCGGGAAAGGGAGTCTTAACTGCCCCATTCAGGCTAATCAAAACAAATCGTCTSGGAGTCATACTTACATTTGCTGTCTACAAGAGAGATCTTCCCTCAAATGCTACTCCAAATGAGAGGATYCAAGCTACAGATGGGTATGTCTTCTTTCTGATGATTGAACTTGATGCGAAACAATGCAATGTATCTTGTGAAATCTGAAACCTTTTTAAAACTTAAACCTAACATGAAAAGATGGGTCAGGTGTTATGCAGCCTCTTAGAATCTGTAACCAACTACTCTACTTGTCAAACAGGTATCTTGGTGGAGTTTTTGATATCGAGTCGCTGGTGGAGAAGTTRCTTCAACAGCTTGCAAGCAACCAAACCATCCTAGTCAATGTTTACGATACCACAAACCAATCGCACCCGATCAGCATGTATGGTAAAGACACATCAGAAGATGGGTTGCAGCGCATTAGCCCCCTTAACTTTGGGGATCCAGATAGGAAGCATGAGATGCGATGCAGGTATGTAACGAATTACTACAAACCACCACCTTGGTTCGTTTTACTCGACATCAGTATATCCTGAAAAGACAAAACTATCCTTTTCTTTGATGGGATGGGATCTAAATCTGGCTTATTCTAGTTGCTGAGATCAAACAAAGTATGTACTGCAGAATGGTGAATGATTCTATGTTTTTGACACAGATTCAAGCAAAAACAACCTTGGCCATGGTTAGCAATAACAACTTCAATTGGTGTACTCATCATTGCATTGCTTTTGGGGTATATATTCCATGCAGCCTTGAACCGAATCGCCAAAGTGGAGGATGATTATCACGATATGATGGAACTCAAGAAACKAGCAGAAGATGCCGATGTTGCCAAATCCCAGGTATGTGGCTACTTCRATTAGTTACAGATAAGAACCATGTTTCAACATATATCTTGTCTATGAATTGAGCCTSAARAGTTYTTCAAACCTTTGTAGTTCCTTGCAACTGTTTCCCAYGAGATCAGAACCCCAATGAATGGTGTTCTAGGTGAGAATTTAYAGATGCATCTTTTGCTTTAGCTCTCTTATTTCTAAAAATTCTTCAAATAATTTCACCTCGCTCTTCCAAYATTTCAGGAATGTTGCATTTGCTTATGGACACAGACCTAGATGTGACTCAACAAGATTATGTTAAAACTGCACAAGATAGTGGAAAAGCTTTGGTATCACTGATAAATGAGGTTTTGGATCAGGCAAAAATCGAATCTGGAAATCTCGAACTTGAAGCAATACCGTTCAATCTGCGACCAATTTTGGATGATATTTTGTCACTCTTTTCTGGGAAATCTCAAGAAAAAGGACTGGAGGTAATATAGGCTTCAAATTCTACTGTCCATGCCGTTTCTCTTGCTTTTCTGTTATCTCATCTATATGGTTATTGTTATTGTCTATTCTCATATCGTATCGGCATGGTCGTTTTGTCGAGACTGCAGCTAGCAGTTTTCATCTCAGATAATGTTCCTGAGATGCTAATTGGTGATCCTGGAAGGTTTAGGCAGATCGTCACAAATCTTATGGGAAACTCAATCAAGGCAAGTGATGCAAGTTCTTTCTTCTATATTGCCAAGAAATTAATAGGATAAAAGAGCTACACTGTATTTACTTTGATAGAAGGAAAAAGAGGCTGTATTTGGTAACTTTTTGCTGATCAATGCTAAATGCTTTTCAAAAGTTGTTTCTGTTTCTTCCATGTATATATGGAAAAACTTAAGAACAAATCACATAATGCTCGAGTATATCGAGAACTGTTCGTACTCCTACCGATGTCGTGATTTCTGGTAAAGGCACACACAAGGGAACTGGTGAAATTTTTTAAAACAAGTGGAGATAATTTTGTTTGTAGAAATTTGAATCCAGTGTATTTGAGAATTGGGTTGTTGTTTTAGCTGTTTTGTTAGTAGAAATTTGAATCCAGTGTATTTGAGAATTGGGTTGTTGTTTTAGCTGCTAAGTCATGGTGTTTGGATTTGACAGTTCACAGAGAAGGGACACATATTTGTCACAGTTAATCTCGTCGAGGAGGTTATTGAATCAATTGATCTCGAGATCGAGTCTTCAACGAAGAGCACCTTGAGTGGCTATCCTACTGCCAATAGACGCCTCAGCTGGAMAGGTTTCAGAACGTTYGATCAAGAGGRTCCTGCTGCTTGTCATKTCCTGCCATCTCCATCGGACCTTGTTAACCTTATAGTATCCGTGGAAGATACAGGTGYCGGTATTCCTTTAGAAGAYCAATCACGTGTTTTCACTCCCTTCATGCAGGTTCRACCATCCATCTCTAGAACTCAYGGGGGAACAGGTATCGGTCTGAGTATTAGCAAATGTTTGGTTGGCCTCATGAAGGGGGAGATCGGGTTTGTGAGTGTGCCAAAGATCGGCTCTACCTTCACATTTACTGCGGTTTTCACAAATGGCTCTTCCAATTCGAGCGAGTATAACAAATCTCAGCAAATTAAGACCACGTCCATCTCGGCATCCTCCGAATTTAAGGGTATGAGGGCTTTAGTTGTGGACCATCGACCCATTCGGGCCAAGGTATCAAGATATCATATCCGACGTCTTGGAATAAATGTTGAATCATCGTCCGACTTGAATCAATGTCTGTCTAACATGAGTGTGGGTGGTACAACTATGAATATGATTTTTGTTGAGCAAGATCTTTGGGATCAGGATACCAGTACATCAGATCTCTTTATCAAGAACTTAAGAAATTCTTATGGCGTTCCTCCCAAACTATTTCTTCTTACTAGCTCCATTAGTTCTTCAAAAGCTAGTACTATAAATTCTGATGTACTCACTCCCACAGTCATCCTAAAGCCCTTGAGGGCGGGCATGCTTGCTGCCTCACTTCACAGAGTAATGGGCGTCGGGATCAAGGGTAATCCTCAGCTTCCTGTTCTCTCTCTCCGTAATCTACTCCGTGGTCGGAAAATTCTCATTGTAGATGACAATAAGGTGAACCGTATAGTCGCTGCTGGTGCTCTAGAACGGTACGGTGCTGATGTAGTATGTGAAAACAGTGGAAGAGATGCAATCCGACTGCTTACACCGCCCCATCGTTATGATGCATGTTTCATGGATATTCAGATGCCAGAGATGGATGGGTATGTAATAATCTTCCTCCCTTTTCTTTGTCTTTTCCAAAGAAATTGTGGCAGTAGAAATGCTTTCGAATTTGACTTTACAATTCTTCAAACTATTGAGAGATGTATAAATGGTAAAATGAGTTGACTTCTTGAGTGGTTAATGTCCTGCCTCACAGGTTTGAAGCTACAAGAAGAATCCGGGAAATCGAACACCATATCAACGACGGTATTCAACTTGGAGAGCTATCAAAAGAAGCATACGAAAATAAGTGTTATTGGCGTGTACCCATTTTGGCCATGACTGCAGACGTAATCCAGGCTACACACGAGGAATGCCTTCGGTATGGGATGGATGGATATGTTTCAAAGCCATTCGAAGTCGAACGACTTTATCGAGAAGTTTCTCAATTTTTCCACAGTACCTCAAATGGAACTTTATAGACAGATCATATATTCCGTGGCTGTCAATGGCATCGGCCTGTTCGTCAGGACAAAACGAACAGCATGCTTAAAAGGGTGTGAATTACCTCCTGAGTAAGTATTCTACTTAGAAGATTTTGATTGATCACTTCACATTCCTCAGAATCCAAATGATAAAACTATTCTATCATATTCTGTCTTTCGCAGTCAGAGGATCGATATCCCCCCGTTGACTTCTCGGATTGCTTCATATTATGCCAGGCAAGCCTAAATTTTGTGGGAGAGTGTAAATAGTAGACAGACATGAGTGGTCGGGTGGAGTTTTCGTCGATTGTTTACATGAGTCGAATGAGAAAAGTTGCTACATTTCTTCTGTATAACCTTCCATATCTATCACTAAGCTCAGGAAACCAGGATTCATTTGCAACCACAGAATTCAATATGGACTTTTCCTGAAAGTTCACAATTTTGATAATCTACAGGTTGAAGATCATCAGAGGGCCAAGAAAGGAAGAGGTATAGAATGTTGTGTGGCAACTGGAAGGAAGTGGTTTGTATATTAAAAAACATGTTTGATTTGTACCCACACAAGTTTAGCTTTTGTTTTTCTTTTTCTTTTTTGGGTAATTTTGTTTTATACTTTTTTATCTCAAGTACAAATAGGTCAAAACTTGACACTATCAAATTTGAGAAAATTGATAGTGTACATTTCCTGCAGACAATTCCAGTTTCCAACTTCAGGTCTGTGTTCTGTATAAAAATTTCCAACATTCATCAGTTTTTTCAAGTGGGTTTTATTTCCTTTCTTTGATCAAATGTGAGGGGAAAAGTGTTTAATTTTGGTCTATTTAATAGAGTTCTCTAGAATTTTTTTTTTCTTTTTAGTTTATAAATTTTGACAATGTGCACCAGCTGAGTGGTGGCATAGTGGGTTGTGGACGAATGGAGATATTCCCTTTCAGGTTTGAGCTTTATGTGGGTTGTAGTCGGGGTTTTCTACCTCCCCCTCTTTCTATTCGGGGATGAGTTTTGTGATGTTGATTACAATAATAGGTGGCCGTTAATATCCTTCCTCTAATACAAGTCACACAACATCGATTTCGGATTATAAAAAAAAAAAATTGATGATGATTTTAATAACATATACAATTTTAGAAATAGGAAAAATAAAAGTAAAGTCATTATCAAATGGATATTATTAGTCTTCAAAATTGTTGTTGATTTAACTCAATTAAAGAGGATAATCAAATGATGCATCGAGAAAAAAATTAGTGTAAAAGTTAATATACGTGATACTAAAAATTTAAAATTCGTGAAAACATATATTTGTTTGAATCATATTTAGTCTAAGATACTTTGACTCATTTTCTTACGTAACTGATTTGACTTGAACTACTTAACATTATTATTATTGCTTTACTATAGTAACAATTGAATATATTTGTTTATAAATACTAACTAAATAGATACATTGTAAGGTGCATATTCTTTATTTTCATTCATTATTAACTTTATTTTATTATAAGAGTTTTTTTAATACATATTATAAGAGTTGTTTAGACAAATTAAATGAAGTCAATTGAACTTACAAGATTCCACTAGGTCGTAATATGCAACTAAGTCTCACGTTCATGGGTAGCCACTTCACTCGTACCATGTAGCATATTATTACCTCACAATAGTAACAATCAAACGCTGACTCGATAGAAGTCAAGCTTTGTCTCAAAAAGAATGGTCCCCTTGTTTATTCTTCATAAACTTTTGTTTATCTTTTTCTTCGTTCACAAAATTTGATTTTAGTACAAAAGTTGCTTTGACACACTAAAAAGAGTGTCACTCCTTTAAAATTTTAGTTGCTTGAGGAGTTCTTGAATGATTGATGATAATTTCTTTACCTCCGGGAGATAGAGATTAAGTGTTTATTATTGTCTCCGTACCTGAGCCTCTTTTGAAGCATGCAACTTCTTACCACTTTGCATGTACACAAATGTTAGAAGAGTCATTTTGCCATAAAATGTTGTACTATAGAGGGCAATATGTTGGCCCGTCACCTACATTTCGGGCCACTTTACAAAAAGAAAATTAGTATCGAATTACAAATGTATCAATATTGTGTGTATTTCCATGGGCTAGAGGTTCAAAAAAGAGCTACCATTGTTGCCCATGGATGTCAATCACATCAAATACATAAATAATTAGAAATTGTTTTCCTTTAAAGCAAACTTCAAAAACAACTTTTTTAGATATAGAGAACAAACAAAAGACATGGAATTGAAAACTAAGCACTCATTTCCCCAAAAGGAGAAGAAAAAAAAAGGGGTTACGATCAAAAGGCTCTTTATTCTGTTCTTGTGAACTTTACATCACAAAAATAAATCTCTGACCCCTAAATTGCAAAGCCAAAAAAGTTTCACCAAAACAAAACAAATTTAATAATTACACAATGGTGGGGATTCCTCCAAGCAAATCTCTCCCTGTTTCTTCATCATCAGCATTTGAAAACCTCACTCTCTGTTCCCCATCTCCTTTCATGGTTAAGAACAATCAATTTTCTGCACCATCAAATCCAAAATTATGGCAATTCCACATGAGGAAGCACTGCAGTTTCATCATGGTCTTGTTTTGATGAATTCTTCTCTGTACTCTCAACAATGGTTTTAGGGCGTTTCAGAATTCCTGAGAGAAAACTGCCCAAGGATCTAAAGGGATGGTTGATTTTATCTTTTATATTCAAGATAATGGAGACCTCAGAAAGCTGCCAGACAACAGTGACCACAATCATCACTGAGAGAAGACAGTGAGTTACAAGGTTTTGCCTCTTCACCTTCTTCAGCTCTCTAACAATTTCTTCTCTACTACTACACTCATCATCAACAATTTCCTCTCTAACAGAATTTTTAGCTTTTGTTTTCCAAGTATCTACCGCAGATTCTACCTCCTCAGATTCTGCTTCTTCTTTCAGTGATTCAATCTGTTGGTGTTGAGGAAAATGAGTTTGGTTTCCAAATTTACACTCAAAGAAGCAGGGACAGAATTTGAATCTATTGAGGGTTTCAAATGAAATGAGCGAGGAGAAGACGAATAATCCAGATTAGAACTCTATTTTCCTCGACACGAGATTGGAATTGACTAACCAGTGCTTAATCAAAGAAAATGCAGAAGAACACACAATTCGAACATACGGAGAAGAAATCAAGGGCATTACGAGGGCGATGACTCGAAAATCTGAATCGAATGACGTTTTTTGATAAGGAGGATTTTGAATGTTGCGTACCTGAGAGAGTAAGTTGCGGAGGAGAGTCCGGTCGTCGGGTTCATCGCGATCGCCGACGGAGCTCCGATCAGAGGATTTTTTGTTGTTGTTCTCTTCGTCAATTAGCCTTCTAATGGCGAGGTTGATCAGCTCCAGGCGTTGCTCTTCCTCCATGGCTCTGTTTGGATTGGAGAGAGGCGAGGATTTTTCAATGGCGCTGTTGCAGTATCAATTATCAAATTCCGCCATGGTTTGAGGCTTCCAGAAGTATGGAGTCCGCCACGGCTCGCCGTCTCTGTGAGAGTGACAGGTAGTATTAGGATTGATGTCCACGTGGCACGTGATGAGTGGTTTGTTTTTTACATTTTTGCACAGGCAAAGTTTCTACAGAAAACATGGATAATCTGCACATTGCACTTTTTTTGGGTGTGATTTTAGCAACATAAAAACGTAATATTAAATTGATAAAAATAAAAATTTTTGTATGAATTTAAATTATATAAATGATATGATGATGGTAGAGTATTGTTGGAACCATTCGAAATTTTAATAGATTCCTATTTATCGATCGTGCCACACAAGTGCAACTAAGCATTCACAATTAGTTTTATAGACAACTATCATTCATATTTGGAGCATTTGAAAATGTCGGCTATCTAGATTCTTGAAAAATAAACGACTCTTTTAAAATCATATTTTATAATTTCTAAAACAATTTATATATCATTGTACAACATTAGATTACATTTGGAAATGACTTTGGTACACCAAAATAGTAGTATTTTACCATTATATACAAGTGATTTTAAAAAATAGAAAAAATAATTTTGGCACTCTAAATATGCCCTTAGTTACATTATATATATATATATATATATTTTTTTTTTTTTTTGAAAAAAGTTACTTCGTTAAGAGGAAATGGCCACGTGGGCATTTAAAGACAACTCAACTTTCTCCCTAACCAGTTCACGAAGCCAGAGGGGAAAGTTTGTTAACCAACAAAAGGAAGATCGCAGAGAAAGGGATTTTTTGGCCAGAAAATCCGCAACCTAGTTTACATTACGATGTGCAAAATTGAAAGAAACAGAATCAAGAAATTGGACCTTGACGAGGATGTCGTGGACAAGAACACTCGGAGCAGCCAGCGAGGTTATCTTTCCACATAGCAGAGAAATGACACAAAGGGAATCCGATTCCACAACAAAATTTCTGCAATTAATAGAGAGAGCGAAATCGATCCCATAAAAAAAAATTGGCTTAAGTTATTTTGTTCTTCGTTATTAAATTAAAATGGCTTAAGTTACTTTGTTCTTCGTTATTAAATTAAAAGTTTGATCCCTCAATTTTCACAATTTCATCTAATTAAGAATATGTTGTAAAAAAATATTCTAGATTTTTTTAAGATTTTAATTTTTATCTATCTAATTAGGTCCATATACTTTTATTTTTTTTATCTAATAAATCGTTATTACGTTGTGACTTTAAAACTTAAGTAACACATGTTGAATTATTTAAGGATTTTTTTGTGAGTTAAATTTATAACAGTTTTTTTTCAAAAAAAGAAAAGAAAAAGAAAAAAAAAATCTAACAGGTTTAGAGACTCGATAATGTAAGTGTTAAATAGATGGAGTTAACAGGAACATATTTAACACAAATCGACAAAATTAGATAGACAACGTCATCTTAGAAAAGTTTAGAAACTTATTGGAAAAAAATAAATAAACTCCGGACTAAACTTGAATTATGACCTACATTTTTAGCCCAAGTGCCAATTATGTGCAGACCTAGCAATTGATGATATAACAAAATAAGAATCTATCAAAGTCACGTTATTTGAAAATTGAATTACTGTTGTTTCTCTCCATATAAGAATGTTTGCAGGATATTAAATATTAGTCAACTATCGACATTTTCATGTATCCATAGATTCAATATCAACATGAGAGGCTAATTAACTTTTCATAGTATTGTAAAAAATCGACAAAATACGAAAAATATCACTAATATAGACATAATATTAAGATTAATCATTTTTAACTTACAAAGATTGAAATGCTTACTTGACAATTTAAATATTTTTTTACAAATTTTTTTATTTTTATAACCTTTTTAAAAATTTCCCTCGACATCGATATTTTATCAAGATTTCTATAAAATTGAGATCTCGAAATTTCTTTAACATTGACATTTAAAACATTGAAATGGTTAATACCTAACACCATACAACCATGAAGAAAAAATTATATTAGATTTTATAAAAAGAAATCAAAAAGCCACAAAGGGTAAAATCTAGTACAATTGAGATGGTATTATAGAAATGTTGACTAAAAGAAATAATTGTAGAAATATTGTAAAAAAGTTGAATACATATAAATTCCATTATTATAGTCAATCAAATATTTAGATTAACGTGTGATTTCTACGACTATAACAAGTCAATATCTGATATACTTCCAATCAAGAAGTTGTGAGATCAAATCCTTTTCCCAACATATTGTACTAAAAAGAAAAAAGTCAATATCAAAATGATTTGTCAATTATGCAAATCAAGGATTATCATAAAAGAAAAAAGATTAAAAAGAAAAAACATACTAAATAGTAATCACCATTATTAAAGTGAATCGGTCCTTAATGAATTTTAAAGAACGAATCTATGTTTAAGATTCTTTGAAATTACTTCTAATAAATTACATCTTATAAAATATTAAAAAATAAAACTACACATTCAAATATTCCATATATAAAAGTATAAAAGCTACAAATAAACAATTGTAAAACCCAATAGAAGATTTAAACCACCAACAAAAATTTAACGACCTTTTATTTTTTAAAAAAACATAAAAGAATATCTATTTTTCTACCTTTCTATCTCTTGTCAAAAATTTAATGGTGAACGACAAAAGATAGGTACTGACCGATGAACATCTAAATAAAATTTCGTCAAAGATTCAAATCTCTCCAACCAAACGTCGTCTTTGTAAAAGAAGGAAAACCAAATAATAATAATTTTAATACATGTCCATAGGGATTAATTTAATTGCAACATCCCATTATCTAATCCTACCAAGCAATTTACAGCGACAATACGAATCATTTACTGTGCTTACCGATTCTAATCACTATGCTACTGTACAGATGGTGATGAACCAAAAAAAAAAAGAAACTTAGCAATGAAACATAAAATCAGTGAATGTTAGTTAATTAGGATCACCAGAGTTGTTCCTATACAAACTTGGAATATGTGTTACAGTCTTCCATTCCAGAAACATCGCCGAGAGAAGTCGATGCTGTGCCATCAAGTTCAGCCTGCAGAAGTTAAATAAGATCTCATAAAAGAAAGTGACAGCACCATGAATTCCGCTACATATGAAGGCCAATATAAGGGTTGTTCTACACATTGTTTATATTCTGTAATTTCCGGTGTTTTAGAAGCTCTATTGAACACCAGCTTATTGGCTAAAATAAAAAACATAACAATAAAAAAAATAAAAACTTGGTGTGAAGCATATGGCGGTTTTTTTTTCCCTGATAATTGGGAGTTGGAGCTTTGCTCCCCTATACCCAAGGGCACCCGCACCAATTTCAAGGCTTGGTCCCAGGAGACATCTAAGGGTTTTTGATATTAAGTTCACCAGAAGGTCCGAACTTGAGACCTTCAAGTCAGTATGACCAAGAGACCCTAAGCCTTTGCCAACTGGACTGCCCCTTGAGGGCTTATAGCGGCTTATATTTTGTTTCTCAATAACCCCATTTGTCGTCATTTCACTATACTAAGGGTGAGTTCAAAATAACTATTGAAAATTGAAGAAAAAATCACACGAAAGACACTTAAATGTATGCAGGAGAAGCATTTATTTCTCCCGAGAGTACTGCCTATAGAAAGATATGTTTTTCAAAAGTCACCACAAACTCACGAAGTATTATCACCTAATTTTCGACATTTGACTGTCATAAAAAACGTGTAGGCAGCTAATTTGACTGATGAATGGTGACACTTTTCATAACTAAAGCCAAACGTCTGGTTGGATGCATAGGTTCAGCGAACCAAAAAAGTTTATTAACTTTCGTTCTAATTGACTAAGCCATAGTTCCTTGTATTCTAGAGTCATAACCATCAGTCTTTCTGGTTGTTAAAATGTTCCAGCAATGTTGAAAAGTGATCATGCTTTTCCAGACTCACTTGTTAGATGAAACCCAGTTACTTTGTCAGACGAAGGTGCAAATCGTTATGCTAGGATCATGCTAAAACGAGATTATGCTTCTTGAAATATGACGTTATTTTAATCCATTATTTACGTTAAAAAATTACTACTTACCTTAGCTTCCCGAAATCCTTCAAGCATACGATGATATTGCTGACGAGCATCTGGAGAGTCAACCATGGACAGCACTCGTGAAACAGCCTCGCCAATAGTTCCTTCCACTTTTTGTTTACGGAACACCTTTATAATATCGTCGTCTTCACTCTCATCAATAGATCCTACCTCGCTACGAAAACCTCTCAAACCAGCTCCTTTCCTTCTCCAACGTAGTACAACTTTATCAAGGATTCCAACAGCCCAACAAATTATTTTGTAGTGCTTTCTAACTTGATACCCCCTCACATGTGCCTGTTAACATAAAAAAAGTAACCTTTCAGAACAATGTCACTATCTGAAGCCTTAGTAAAAGGCATGAAAGTTTCCAATCCCTTGCCACCCACGTGTTTTTAACAAGTGAGTGAATTGATTAGCATGTTCAGTAACTGTCTGGACTGCATGTATATATATGTAAATTAATGTTAGAAAGTTCGTAATGATACCTGTATCTTCACGACTTTCTGACGAATTGATAAAAACTCTTTACGTCCTTTCCAGCCTCTATACTTCTTTTGTATAGATAATGCAGCTGCATTGTAATCCCGTCGATTACAGAAGTTTAACTTTGACATAGCAAAGAGCCCATGTATGTCATTTGGATCAACTCCATACTCATCTATACAAGCTGCAAAAACTGCCTCTTTCTGCTGTCGCTTTCTGAAAGAATGTGCACGGAAAGCAGATTGAATCTGGGCTGCTGCCTGAGCAGCATTCCTGACTGCAGCTAACGTATTTTTTAGTGGCATATAGTCCTCAGAGGAAGAGAGGTCCCCCTTTGAGATGCTATTTACTGTCATTTCTGCTTCAACCTCGGCAGAGCCTTTGGGATGCTCACCTTCAAATGTGAGGGATGAAAGATGACTAGTAAGTGCAACCTCTGATAAATAACCAGCAAGTCCCTTGTGTCCATGGATGTCTGCAATAGACGCTGCCGTTTTACCAGCCGGATCTTGTGAACTAGGATCAGTCACAGCGCCAGCTGATGCTCCAGATGCTACTAGTGCAGCAACCATTTTTTCCCTAATTCAAGAAAGAGTCAAGTTTTTTTTTTAGGAAACGAGATTTTTCATTTGGTTTCTTTCTTTTATATTGTTTAAATTTCTTGTATTTTTATGCTTTTCAAGAAAGAGTCAATTTACCAACTATACTACAATAAAACTCAAATACATCAAAGGAATGGTATCCTCACTTATACTGGCTTATTTACGTCACTGCTCCAGTTAATCTTGAGAAAAATTACTCAAATAAAGTATGTTTCCTAAAGGAATGGTATCCTCCTTAAGTTCATTTCTAGTTCAACTTATACGGAATTCCCAAATGGTGTATAAACTGTGTGTAAAAGAAAATTCTCTTCTATAAAATAGTTTCCAAAATTGAGGAGCAAATGTGCCTTCCATTTCAGTTCTCATGCGCCATTATATCCAACTACTTATCAGAGATCCAAAGAGTTATGAATGATTATGTTTCGCAGTAGAAAATGCATCAAATATTGTTGAGAAAATTTTTCATTAAAAATAAAGTCCACAAAGATAATTAAATCTTTTGCTTCTCATTTTAGGGTAAAGAGAAATCAGAAAATAATTTAAGAAAATATCATCTATTTTTCTTTTCTTGCCTTTCCTGATTATTTTATTTACCTTTTCTTTTAGCCATAGGCTCTGGAATAGCATCATTTTTAACCAGTTCAAATATTCTATTTTCTGAGGGTAGTTCTATCAATATCTTTTAAATTTAAAGCATAAAAGTAAAATTAAACACTAAAAGAGCCGAACCTTCCAAAGCGTGCCGCCCAATGTAGAGCAGTCCATCCATTAATGTCACGGAAATTTATATTCACTCCACAACTGAGGATTGGGTTTAATGCCCACACATATCCCAAGCCAGCAATCATGTGTATAATGCCCTGATCTTTCTTGGACAAGGAACAGCCCGCAGGATCATGTCTATCTTCCAATCGGGAAGAAAGCCAGAGATGAAATTTGTCTTTTAGCAGCTCTCGAAGAAGCCAATCAATGGTACTGGAAGGAGTTCCACTGCCAACTAGAAGAGACTCTATCATAGAACTCCATTGATCATCATCCGCTTTCAAGTTATTGCTCCTAACTTCAGAACCTACCTTGTCAGATTTCTGGATTGATGAGTAAGAGAGCAGCATTTGCACAAGTCTGACAAGTAATAACAACTCCTCTGGGCTCTTCAGAGCTCCACCTGAATGTGATTGGCAATGATTGCACACACTCGTTTTAGCTTGATACTCAAACTCTCTGACTTCACTGCAGGGTTCCCGATTGCCAGATGTAATGCAGAAAGCTACCTTCCCAGGAAGGTGTGGAGGTGTTTCACAACAAAGAACCCCATTCTGAACAATCTGAAGAGGAACTTCAATATCTCCAAACATACAAGCCCATGAAGATTCTGAAGGATCACAAAGAAAAGATCCAATAATGATGACCTGGATAGAGAGATTTAAGACCTTAATATTTGAATCTTCAATGAGAATAACAGAGGCTACATCAGAATGGAATCAAGACAGAGTAAATATTGAAATTTCCTGTTGCTACTTATACGAAAGCCTATATCATTGTTCATAATCTACGGCTGAGCAAACCAAACCGAAAAATCGACTCGACCAACCAAAACTGTCAGTCAGTTGGTGTGGCAGATGGCTTGGAGTCGGTGTGGTGGTCAGCATGGTCTGAAAACACTTTCTTGACCGACCAATCAACCTACAACTACAAGTTTATTAAAAAAGAGTTGCATGAGCATTTAATTGCAGCAGGCAGACTACTGTTTTTCATCTTCTATGTTAAATTATAAAAGAAAAATAAATAAATAAAACATTTTTTAATTTTTAAACTTTAAATTTTCTGCATTTATTCTTTCTTCACCGGTTCACCCTTTTCTCTCTCTCTCTCTCTCTCCTTCTTCCTTCCTCTCTTATCCAGCCACCTCCTCCCCTTCTCTCTTCTATTTTTCTCCCTTTCTCTCCTCTTACCTCCCCGACCTTCCTCTAGTGTATGTCCTTGGGTCAAGTATAGCTCTCTCATCTCCGCAACTAGTTACCTTGCTTTGCATATTCCACATCACTTTAACTAAGGTTCTAGCCAACCTTTAAGAAGAGGTGCACTAAAGTGCATTAACTCCATTACTTTTCTTTAGAATAGCACTATTTCCAGCGATAAAAAGATCTGCATTTGCCTCATCCTGAAGGATATTAACGTTAAAATTGTCTCAGAAATTTAGCCCTATAAGGCTTACCTCTTTATAAGATAATAATTAATGTCCTGAAGGGTAGGTATAAGAAAGTGGTTTTCCTTCAACTGTATCAAAGTTTTGGGCCACTTTTATGAGGGTAAGTAAATTATTGATGTATTCCACATTGATAATGAGGTGGGGGATGATTAAAAGAAACGATTAAAAAGGACTTCGTGTTTAAACTTGTCCTTAAAAGCTTTGGAAAGAAGTGTAGGACTTCGATTCCCAAGATTTATATCTAATGCTAATTCTTACATCATTCTTAATCATAAGCACAGAAAGAAAAGTCATTACGTCTTGAAGTGCCTTTGGCAAGGTATCTTCTATCTTATATATATATATATATTTTTTTTTAACAAGAAACGAACTTTTCATTAAGAACATGAAGAGGAGCAAAATTGTTCAAAGATACAAACTCTTGAAAGAGTTAAAGACAAGTAAAAAATCAAAAAACAATACAAATAAGAAGAAAAACTTAGGACGATGCGGCAAAAACACCCCAATTCAAACAGATCATCTTCACTTTTGCAGATTACACTATCTTTTTAAATGTGGTTCAATTATAGTTAGCAACTTATGCAAGGTAACAAAAATTTTGAATTATGCTTCTGAGGGTTATGGCTACTGTATTGATTACTTAATAGAAGAAATTCAAGTTAGGGGTAATAGATTTTCTCATGACCGAGTGATCCCTCCTTTATCCCATCCTCCCTCTACTAGGTAATCCTACGTCAGAAGACAAAATAGGGATGCTATTTTGGATGATCTTTAGTTCCAACTCATGCAAGCTCGATAGCTCCTGAAGGTTCATATTGACAAGCATTGCCAAGATATGTAATTTTAGGAGCGAGAACTGGTTTTCATGAAGTTCCAACCTTACCAACAGCATTCCTTGCAGCCTAGCAAAATAATATTCTGATTATACGATATTATGGCCCCTATCCAATGGTGAATCAAATAGGGAAGGTTGCTAACCATTTATGACTACCTTCACTCACGACAGTACACCCTATTTTACCTGTATCGTAATTGAAGCTAGCTAAGAGATCCAACTTACACTCCAATCTTTTCCCACTTCAATATGGTCTTACTTGTTCCATTTATCTCACTGTTACTTTGGATTTTTACCCTCATATCAACACTTTTATGGGAACTAGAAGTTTCAATAGAAAGGGAATGGCAACAAGCAGATGAAGCTATTTGAGAGTCTTATGATTCACTAAAACAACAGATTCCTACCTTCCACCTTGAGGATAAGGTGAAATGTTAGGATGGGGGATATTGGTGGGAATGTGAAGCCCCCAATTCATTTTACTTATGGCAGAAGAAAGGATTTTTGTAGAGGCTGGAGCCTGGAGTATGCCATCAGGTGCTTTCTGAGTGATGTTGTAAATAGGCAGGGGGATTTTTGTAAGGGGCGATGAATCCTTTTGTAAGACTTCTAGAATAGGCATAAAGAGCGTGACATAGGGGGAGGAAGTCAGTCAATTAGATGGAAGGAAAGGGAAGAATCAGACCTCCAGAAACTCAAGAAATTCTGTATTCTTTCCAAATGGCATCTACTAGGTTGGAGGTTCAAATCCACAAACCCTACATTTGTTGTACTGAAGAAAAGATATATGAAGAAAAGATATATATATAAAAGGTTGAAGTTATTCTCTTCGTCCTTCTATATGTGTTCTTTGTGCAGCCAGTGGGGAAAAGTCTTGGTCATCCTTTTTTCCATTGCTCCTTTGCATTACAGTTCTGGGGTCTTTTACTTTGTCAGTTCAACTTTGGGTGGGTTTTCAACCCGAAAGCAGAAGAAAATTTGTTCCAACTATTCTGCAGGCCTGTTTATTCTTCAACATCAGTTCGTCTTTTGCGGATTAATGTTGTCAAAGCATTACTTTTGGAACTATGGTATGAAAGGAATTTGCGGCTTTTCAAAGGCAAGAGCAATTCCTTGATTGAGTGCTTCAATTCAACTAAGTACAAAGCTTCCCATCTTGCTGATCCTTTTTGCATTATTCTCCTAATCTTATTTGTAATAATTGGGGAGCTTTTATAACTCCTTTGTAGTCCTTGTTTTCGTTTTCGTTTTCTTTATTTTTCTTTTCACTTGAGAGTGTGTATCTTTGAAAAAATTTTGTTCCTTTTCATACATCAACGAAAAATTTCATATCTTGTTAAAAAAATAACAATATATACACACACACACATATAATCACTGCATTTCCATTTGAGCTCAATTATGAAGCCACCTTCACCATTCTAAAATGAGGGAACTTTCCCCATACACATTCACATGCACACTAACAAAGATGCAAAGAGAAAATATGACATCAGCTCAAGGTAGAAGTTGTAGCTGGAAAGGCAAGGGGCGTAGAAAATATTTAGCAATCAATAAGAGTAAAATGCAAAATACCAGCGGACAAATTCTAAGATCCAAAGCTTATCAAGATAGACAGTGGGTTAACAGATCAAAAAGGGATATGCACAATTGAAGTAGCATCAACCTCATCAAAGCCATTTGAGAAACTAGCTAGCAAAAGAACTATGAATTAACTAGACTATAAGGGCAGTCATCAAGCATAACAAATTGCGTAACTGCCAAAGGCACTGTATGATCATACCCCATAGCACAGGAATACAAAAAGTTACAAGTACCTTGGTGCTCTCAGTAGCATAACCCCACTCGGGTGTTATTTGGTGGATTGCAAATTTCTGCACTTGTGCAACAATTAAACTTGTGTCAACTCCAAAAGAATTTCCATGGTCTTGTTTAAGAAATGGTGTATGATAGTTGGAAGTAACATTATGAGTGTCCACTGGTGAAGTATATTCTGGAGTTTGGTGGCTTCCTAGCAAAGGAGAAGCTGGTAACACAGATGATCATAACTCGAGTTAACAACAGAAACCTCTTCCTTCTAATCTACTGAAAGTAAATAGAGTAGATGGATATCAAACATTTTTTACATTACTTTTTCTTCTGCTGTTCAGCCAGTTGAAAAGTTCATTTTCTACACTTGTACCTTTACTCGAAGATGGTGATGTCTTTTCCTGTTGTTAATCAAACATTAATAATTAAAAAGACAGTTCTCCAAAGAAAGTTAAATAAGAGTATATGACAAAATTGAATTGTTAAAGCTGCATCTGGAAAACTTACATTTTCATTCCGTAGGAGAGAATGCCTATCTGGAGACTCAAGGTCTGATGTCTTACTTGAACAAAGGGCATCACCCCATGGTTGAGTTCCTTCACTACCAAATACAAACTCATGTGCCATTGCATAGTGGTGATGTTTTCCATTAGCATCTATTAGAAGAGGCTTCGTTAGAAGATTTTCTACAGCTCAAGTAATACTATGAATTCTAAAGAGCCAACAAGATCTCAACTGTTACAAGACGGGGATGGCAATATACGTGTAGAACAAGGGTAACACTAAGCGATACAAGGAAATTTCTGTCCCTTGGGTTGTGTCAGATATACAAAAAAATGTTAGTTTACACTTCCACAATTCTCTTTACATCTATAACGCTAACAAAATAATACCTGGAAACAGTAGCATTATGTTGAAATTACCTTGCGTCTCAAACTGTGTATAATTATTATCATGAGCTGCATTTTCTGAATGCTGAAGCACTGAAAACTGATCCTCGTTGGACATCTGATAATGGTCTATAAGGTGAGAATTTGAAACTTCCTCATGGCTATAAAATGGACCAATGTCTTTCAAGCTGTCTTCATTCAGACTTAATTGTTCCTCTATCCTTCTCAAAGCTTGAGAAACCTCAAATTCGTTTGAACTTTTTAATTCTGATATTGCATACTGCCCATCCACACCATTTGCCCCATTAGTATAGTTTCCAGTGTCAGAACTAACTTCTGTAGACCCAGGGCTCGATGATGTATGGTGATATTCTGAAGGAAGATTTTGTGACAAGTAGGAACTAAAAGTAGAAGCCGATGCTGGAGATAATTGTGGAACACTTTCCGCCCCAGACCTTCCCTGCAACAGAAATTTCATGTGAATATTGGTTGAATTTACTCAAAATAGAATGAGTATATGCTGACAACATATCTGTCATCTATCAAAGTAGGTTAAGATCTCTACCAGACTGTAGTGATATTCCGAAAACAAAATCGCTTAAGATGGCACGAAATCACATTAATGGATTTTGCAACATGAAGAAATCCCTTGAAAAAAAATTAACAGAGACAATCTATAAATTTTCTTTTAACAAGAAACAACATTTCATTATCTATAAATTTTCTTTTAACAAGAAACAACATTTCATTAATATACGAAAAGAAGAAAAGTTCAAGGAAGGTTCGGGCAAGTTTGCTTGAAATTCGTAATTCCTAGGCAAAGGTTTGAGTATTTTCTTGCTTTCAAGTTAACTGAAATGAAAGGAAAAACTAGATTTTTTAAGAAATTGAAAACAGGGGAGAACAACACGAAGTGGAGGGTGTTGCTGACCATCGTGTATATCTTAAATCTTCAAGTGCTTTACGATCTACTCATCACTTGTACAAACATATATTTAGTCCATTGAAGAGGGGCCAAAAAACAATTGGGTATTGGTGTGGTGGTAATTGGGATTGTGAGAGGCTATGGCTGAATGGAAGCGACCAGTGTGAATCAAGTTGGTGATGGTAGAGCCGGCAGCGGGATATATGTGCAGGTGTAGGTGGGAATATGGAACTTCGAGAACAAAGAACTAAAAAGAGGTTTTTTTTTTTTATAACTGAGAGTCAGTTCCATATACTCATGGGCACCCACGCCTGCTCCAAGGCTCGGACCTGAGAGACATCAACGATTTTTAAGCCACTGGAAAGTTTCAAACTTGAGATCTCTAACTCTAATAACTTAATGTTTAAGAAAGAAAGTAAATAAAAATAATTAATAATTAAAAGAAAAATCCAACTTTCATTAAGATGGGTGAAACTTGAGATCTCTAACTCTAATAACTTAATGTTTAAGAAAGAAAGTAAATAAAAATAATTAATAATTAAAAGAAAAATCCAACTTTCATTAAGATGGGTGAAAATACAAAAGAGAAGGCCACGTGGAAAACAAGTCAAACCCAATGAAAAGAGCCTGAAAAGAATTACAAGAAAATGTTCCAGTTATATAGACAAGGAGCGAAGCGTTGACAGTTTCTTCAAATTTTTTTTCTTTTCTGGCTCTTACTTGGCATAAATTGTCTCTCTTTTTTATTTTATCTATGATTTATCTTCTCTCATGACCCTTTGGGGAAGCTTTTCGTAATTTCCTTTGGTATGGAGTGCAATCTATCCCCTTTTTGTAATTTCATACCATCAGGAAAATATTTCTTAAAAAGAGAGAGAGAGAGAGAGAATATTCAATTATTTGTAATTAAAAGTAAAAGGAAAAAGAAATCCTATTAGAAAATACCCAAAGGGAAGTAGTAAAATGCTCAAAACTCCAAACCTCCTCACAAAAACCCTAAACACCTTCAAAAACTCTCATTCCTTTTAAGCCAAACACCCTAAAGAAAATCAAAGAAACAAGCTAAGAAAATCAAAGAAACAAGCTCCACAAAATATTCTCCCCCTCCCTTGGAACATAGTATGCAAGATGACCTCAGATAGAATTTTTTTTTGGATAAGAAACAATATATTCTAAGAGCCCGAAAGGGATAAGTGACCTCAGATAGAATGGCCAACGGAGTTATCAAATGCACTTAAGCATCAATTGAAATTGGTAAGCACTTAAGCACCACTAGGGCTCACCAGCCAAGATGCATGGAGAGTTCATTTTTAAAAGCACAATTGGAAGTCACGTCAAATAACTTTGAACTATTAACTTATTACATTAAATAACCATTGCAACCCAGGAAGAAGAAAATGAAATACATAGATACGAACTGAGAAAGAGACCAAACTCATCTTTTTTATATCAACAACATTTAGTGTCAGGGATTCGAATCTCCAACCTTACTTAACCAAGAAGGATGATTCAACGTTAGATGTTCTGATCAAGACAGTGGAGGTTTTTGAATGGCTCTCAGGTTTAAAGGTGAACTGGGCAAAATCAGCTATTTGTGAAATTAATATTGAGGAATCCAAGGTGTTACAAATGGCTGACCAATTATATTTCAAGGCAGAATCTCTACCTATTACTTGGGTCTTCTGCTGGGATGAGTTCCAAATAGTTTCCCTTTTTGCGCACCTATATTGGGAAAAATGTCTAAAAAATTGGACAGATGGAAGAAGTTTTAGCTATCACGAGGAGGTAGGTTAACCCTATGCAGCTCTGTTTTTTCCAATATTTCGATTTATTATATGTCAATCTTTTCATTGCCTTCCAAGTTCCAATGTCTGCTTGGAAATGGAGAAATTTTTGCATGACTTCTTTTGGGAAGGTATTTACGGTGGCAAGGTCACTATTCTTGTTAGATGGAACTGACTTCCATGTTTCAATTGGATAATGATCTAGGCATAGACAGTTTTAAGCAGAAATACAACACTATTGGCAAAAATGGGATTGGAGATTCATGTTTGAATCAGATTCTTTCTGGAAACAAGTAATGTCAGCATCCATGGTTTGGATCTTTTCACATGGCATACATCCGGTAAAAGAAATTCCAGTTTGAGAAGTCCATGGCATAATATTTCAAAAGCTTGGAAGAGGGTGGAGAAATTTGCTTCTTACAATATAGGAAATGGTAACAGAATTTCTTTTTGGAATGACATTCGGTTGGGAGACTCTCCTCTTAACCTTCTATTCCCTCCTATTTTTAAAGTTCCATTGCTACCAAATGGTTCGGTTTCAGCTTCTTAGGACAAGTCTTGTCTTTCTTGGATGATTTCCTCCAGAAGGCATTTAAAAGATGCCGAAATTAATGAGTTAAGCTCTCTTCTACTTGAGCTTGAATCACTCAAATTAGTTTCTCAAGAGGATTCAAAGAGGTGGAAGCTTGAGCCCTCTGGCATTTTTTCCGTGAAATCACTTTCAAGGCAGCTTGCCCCTTCTTCTTAATTACTAAAAGATTTATATACAGCCGTCTGGAAATCAAAAAGCCCTAAACTAATCAACATTATTCTGGGTTTTACTAAATAGTAAGCTCAATACAGCGGATGTTTTACAAAAGAGGCTGCCCACCACTTTTCTTCAGCCATCAATTTGCTACTTATGTTTTGCAGCGTCAGCACATCATAAATATTTATTCTTTGGTTGTCCATATGCATCGGCTTTCTAGAGTTATTTTTCAGAATCTTCAATCTTCATTGGATTTTTTTCTCAACGTTCAGAGTAATGTTTTCCAATTACTTCCAGTCCCTCTTTGGCTTTAGATCAAGATTACTATGGGTAAATTCAGGAAAAGCCATCATCTTTGAACTTTGGATGGAACACAATCAAAGAATCTTCAGAGATTCTCAGATTCATTGGTTGTTCCGGGTTGAAGCAGATAGATTAAAGTCTTCTAAATCTAAATTATTTTCAGATTACACTCTCCAGGGTATTCTGTTGTGTTTTTCTTTTTGCTTTATCCCTTTTGGAGGTTTGGTTCCTTTGTTTTGTTTTGCTTTTTCTTTCCCTCTTTCGGAAGTTTGTCTCTATGAACATTTTATTGTTCCTTTTCATTCATCCAAGAAAAGTTCGTTTCTTGTTTAAAAAACAGTTATGGATGTCTGTTCTTGCCAGAAAAAAAAAAATTCAACCGAACTATGCTCAAGTTGGCACAAAAGAGACAGGATATTGATCGATTATGTATTTAGATAAATTAATAGTGACAGTATAAGCTTATTATTGCTTTATCTACTCCGGGGTCATGGAAACTCACCTCACTAATATCTCTGTAGTGTACAAGAACAATGTGGTCACATGACCTGCCAAGAAAATTAAACATAAGCACATAAATTTCTAAAAGAATATTGAAATAAATGCACATGCTCAATAACAAAAAAATAGTGGATAATTTGATCTGCATGAGTGTTGAACTGTTGAATGTGCTTATTTTTTTTCGGTGGTCCATCCAGACTGCTAGACTTTGTCACTTAGCCCTCCTCTTTGCCAATTAGTATTTTTTTCTCTTTGTCAGCTGTTTACCTCCTTTCTCTATTCTTTATTTTTTCGGTAATTGATATCTTTTCCTGATTTCCCTCCTCACAAAAAGCTGTATTTTTCGTTTTCCTTTAGCATATGCATAATCCTTGTATAGATCTACTTTAAGAATTAGGGGATTTAAAATCGATTCAATACATGAGAAATTAGGTTCATAGCTGCTATCTCAAAATACAACAATTAGTAATCACAGTGGAAACAACATACATTTTAGGGAAAAATACATTTTTGGTCCTTGAGGTAGGTATTTATTTGGTCCCTGGAGTTTCAAAACAAACACTTTTGGTCCCTGAGGTTTGATTTAGGTGTCTATTTAGTCCCTAAGTTCCAAAATAAACATTTTTGGTCCTTAAAGTTTGAAAAATAGTTCTCAATGGTCCTTTGACTGTTAGTTGACCGTTAGTGGCTTTCCATCCCTCTTCTCTTCCTCTCTCTCTCTCTTTCTCTCCCATTTCGGACCAACAACCACCGACCATTTTTATCTTCACCTATCGCCTGCCATCGATGGCGAGCAGAGGCACCAAACTCGACCGTCGGTTCTTGCCCGCTTGCTTCGAGCCTTGACTGGAACGAAGGTTTTGAAACAAGGCTGCGACAGCGAGAGGGAACTGTGGGTTTCCAGTTTCACATTAGTGGCAGCGGTCTCCACAAACGATTTCACGAGCGCAGAAATTCCGGTGGAGGGGCATGGAGCGGAGAATTTGGAGAATTTGGAGGCTTGCCAAATTCGTCTTCCTTCTCTCGACGATTTACTCATCCTATTCCTCAACAAATTCGTCTTGGTCAGAAAGATCGAGAAGTTGGTCGATGAAGAAGTCATCGGAGGACACAACATTGTGGTGATTAAAACAACCATTTTGATCGGAAAAAAAATTTGGGGGCTAATTTGAGGGGCTTTTTTTTGGAGAAACAAGTGTTGAGAGCCCATTGAACGCATTCCATTTGCGACTGTTCAAGCAGGAAAAAGAAAAGATTGAAAGAAAACCTCTTTCTCTCATGTACAGTTCTTGGGATATGGTTTGTTTGGATTTCAGTCTCTTTTTTGGGGGAAAGAAATTAAGCAAGAAAGGGATTTTTGGGATACAGTTCTTCAAAGGGGCACAAAATTAAGGAAGGAAGAGTCTTTGGGAGAGAAATTAAAGAAGCAAAGGATTTTTGGGAGAAAGAGAACCCACATTCCAAGATCTGTACCTGAAGATAGTATCAGAGAAGGAGAGATAGTTGTGTTTGTGACTTTGGTTTTGGGAGTGGTTGCAGAAAGAGAAAAGAGATAGATAAAGTAAAGAGAATGTGTTCTTGGTTGGTAGTGTAGAGCCACAGCGTGGTGATGGTGCCTCCGCTCGCCATCAATGACCGGTGATGGGTACAGATAGAGCCGCGGCATGGGCGGTTGTTGGTTGGAGATGGGAGAGAAAGAGTGAGAGGAAGGGATTAGGGATGACTAACGGTCAACTAATGGTCAAGGGATCATTTAGAACTATTTTTCAAATTTTAAGGACTAAAAATGTCTATTTTGAAACTTAGAGACTAAATAGATACCTACACCAAACCTCAGGGACCAAAAATGTTTGTTTTGAAACTTCATGGATCAAATAGACACCTACCTCAAACCTCAGGGACCAAAAATATATTTTTCCCTACATTTTAAAAGCACCCACTACTCTTCTCCAAAATGCTATAACATATAAAACGTAGGAAGCATGGACATGGAAACAAATAGAATGCAACATGACAAGGATATAACACTGACACCTTTTTTTTTAATATCCGAGTTGTCCAAGCCAACTTGCACGAGACAACAACCACCTGACCCTACATTTGGTTGCCAAAGCAAGTCATAGTATATCAAATCCTCGGTAGGTGACCACCATGATTCTAACTCATTACCTTTACACCTTTTACTATTTACACGACCTTATTGACCACTAGGCCAACCCATGACAGTTCACGACACATTTATTAAAACCTCACATATTTGAACATTTTTCACAATATGATTATTTTCAAGCTAATGACTCTGCATAATAATGTCATTTACAATTAAGATGATCCAATATGAAAGAAGTTATAGCCCCCAAGAGGCAGCCCAGTTGGCAAGGGCTTGGGGTCTCTTGGTCATACTGGCTTAGAGGTCTCAGATTCGAACCTTTTGGTGAGCTTAATACCAAAAACTCTTAATGTCTCCTAGATCCGGGCCTTGGGGCGGGCTTAGTTGCCCTTGGGTATAGTGGAGCAAAGCTCCAGTTATAAAAATATATATATATATGAAAGAAGTTATAAATTGAATATACTTTCAATGATTGTAAGAGTAATCAAAGTCAATTACAATTTTCTAATCATGAAATGTTTTCTAATAAATATTTGAAAAGACAATCCTAAAACAAAAAATTATCTAATATATAATAAGAAAACCCAAAATCAAATACGTTAATAGGATACAAATACACGGTAAAACAAAAAAAGAACAAGTATATGAGTTTTCCATTCAATATTTATAACTCTTTCATAAAATTTCTGGTTATGTCCATGTGCTATTAAAAAAAACAATAAAAATTGTAAAAAGAACTAAACACCCAGATCTGAGGGTCAGAGTGTGCTTTCCATGTTTATGAACAATTGGGAAGCGGTTGTTTAGTTCGTTTGGTGGGGTTCCCTCTACCCCAGCCTCTAGTTTGTTTCTCTTTTTTTGATCAGTACAGATATGTTTCTTATCTAAAAAAAAACAATTGTAAGAGTGTGGAAGTATTTAGAATATCTAGAACACAAACAAATTAATAAATGGACTGTTTCAGCTTTATAGGATAAAATGGGCAGATGGTTAGGTCAGGAGGCAGATAAAATAGGCCTCAAGACAGAATGACATGACTGCATTCTAAGATGGAAAAGGAACACTCACTGATCCAGCATCCAAAAGCTACGTCTCTGGAAACTGGGATTATGCTCTCCATGTGCATAATAGCAATTTAACACTTCCGCATTTCCAACCTACCCCAAAGAATAATCCAGACTAGAGCAATCAGTAATAAAACTTAGTTGATCTAGAAAGATCTAATGCAGACATATCAGTGCATAGTATAGCACTCAATGTGCATTGAGGAAAAAATTTTAACCCATAAGCCATTGAATAAGTTTTAGTTTCTTATAGCACTAAATTCATTGATATTGAAGTTGAATTTATCAGATGCAAGGCTCATAAAATTTCCCCCATGCTAGAACTCTGACCAGCTTGAAATTACATCTTACAGTAAATTTTTTACCATTTGATTTCTTGGGTATTACCATTGTAGTGTTACATTAGTCCTAGAGTCAAAACTAGTGTTACCATAGAATGTTCCATAAGGCTTTTCTTTTTTATTTTCTGCCCTATCTTGGTGTAAATAA